AAAACTTTTTTTTTCCCTCGAGATTGATTTGATTAGCATATCAAAAATTCGAGGGTTTTTCGAAACGAGTCTAGTTATCTATATATATATATATATATATATATATATATATATATATATATATATATATATATATATATATCGAAAATATATCCGAAAATATGACATAAATGTAAATATTTATAGACATTCAAAACATTCTGTAAAACTGCCTTAAACCAACGGAACTTTATATTGAGGGTCAGTGTTTATTATCTGCTATAGCTGATTAGGAGACTTGAAATATGAACAGTATGCCTAATGGCATAGCCTCATGTATATTTCTACCATACAATTCTGTGTCGACGCTCAAAACATCTTGCAAACCTGTTCTAAAATATTCAGTCCATGATATTACCAGCGTCATTCTCTAGAATCACGTTTCTGTTGCCCGTTCCACCTATGTGATGAGATTGTCCAGTATTCACTGTCATATAGAAGGACCGATATTACATTCAACAGTTTAATTTAAACTTCATTCTTTGCCAGTTTGGAGAAGGGCTACTTTAAAAATAGTCTAGATTAACATGAACTAATGAAGGTTAATTCAAAATCTAGTAACGCTGGACTGTCAAATTTAGCCTTTTGTCGTCAAATCTAACAATCCTGTCCTCGGAACTAGGAGTTTTTTCATTTATTCCTTATTTCTCCCAAAAATGAAACATGATTGATTCCAGTATTTAATCGGCCCGAGAAAAAAGGCGATACAAGACTGTTTTAATGTAGAGCAACACACTCGTTCGTGCAGGTCGTGGCAGAAATTACCTTGTTTCTGCGCCCAGTGCTACAAAGATATCTGAACAACTCATGGTCTTATCTTTTCAGTGTAATGGAGAAGTTCAGTAACAATAGTCGAAACACATTAGACCCTAGTCAAAAGCCAGGGAAGTTAAACACTTGCATAAAGAATAAATTTCACGTTAACTACACATGATTAAAATTTTCAAAATATTCAGAATAAAAAAGGCAGTATATGTCTATATTTCTGAGATGAGGTATTATGTACACTATTTACATTATTCGGACTATTGTCCTCATCTTTGTTGCCATATTTATCACAACGTTTCGGTCGTTGTACGCTCCCCTTAAGGTAAGTCTTGAAGAACACCAGAAAGCTGTAACACGAGGGGAAGTGGAAAAATCAACCATGGCTGACCACATATGGAGAGAAAAGGGAAATCACCGCCCTCTGTGGGATCAGGTTGAAATCATAGACAAAGGACATCACTGGAAAATTCGTAAACTTAAGGAATCAGCACATATGCTAGCCCACAAAAATCTCCTGAGTCGACCAAGCATAGAAATGAATACAATATGGGAACCAGTAATAAGGAGTGCCAGAGAAAAGCAATAATAACAGCGAAAATTGCAAATGAGCTCTGGTAAAAAATATTAAATGATAACAAAAAAAATTGCAATTGCAAAAAATGAGGACAATATTCTGAATAATGTAAATAGTGTAAAAAAAGCATTTCAAACTTATATATTTATATTTAATTAAATTTTAAATAACATTGATTCTTTATCAGAAAACTATTTAATATCAATGTCCCTCTAAAACATAAGAGATCATGACATTTCCAGGACTATTTTTTTCTTTTTCTTTTTTTTTTTTTTCGTTATCCATGTATTATCATAACTTCTTCCGAATGTTTTCTGCATAGTTTGGAATTCGGAGTTGTTCTTCTAAACTGGCTACCGCTCAAGTCTTAAGAGCCCACATGTTATATCCCATACCTATGAACACTAATGCGTATATCCCATTCCTCAAAAATACGTTGGACACTATTGTAAGAGGGGGATTATGCTAAGTAGTCCACCACTAACAGTGGTTTACCTACTTCACGGTGCTGGCGAGTATTGTATTTTGTTGATGTTATAAAGATTACCATTTTATTTCCAATCACCGTTTTGGTTATTCCTCATTCAGTAACCTTTTCTAGGTTACAACACCAGTCTCATCTACTATTTAGTAATCTACTATTTAGTAATCTACTATTTAGTCCGTAGCTTGCGAAAAAAGATATAGATTCAAGTAAACTCAACAGACCTGACCGGAACTTTCAGATATGCACCAAAACATCTGCAAAAGTATTTACTAGAATAACTGTGAGACTACCGCTCAGCGTAACTCATTTAAGCATAATAATTGTCATAATACTAGCACACTGGGGACAGTGCAATAATTGTAAGATATAACGTGAAGGAAAATAAATATTCATACACATACAATTTTTTAATTTATTGTATTTCCAACTAATGAATAAACATGCTTTTCATATAATTAACTGCACACAGATGAATGATAACTAAATATGCATAGAAAACAGAAAAAATGTTTTAATAGAAATAAATCCCATTTATCAATTTTAATGACTAAAAACAGTATTCGTACAATGCAAATTTCAGATTTTAAAACATTTAAATTGCTTTAACACTCTAGATTATTCAAGTGGAATATTCTAGAATGTTCCAATAATGTTGTCAGTAGTTATTTTTAGCCTAAAAAATACAAACAGAACATTCTGTTAATTCGTGCAAGAAGGTTATCATCATGGCAAGAGGCAAAGAATTGAAAAATTCGCAAAAAGAACTGATTGTTAAGCTCTGGAAAGAAGGTAAGAGTTACAGAAAAATCTCAGACAACCTGAATATTCCATTTACTGCCATGAGTTCATTCATTGCAAGGTATAAAAAAATTCAAAAATGTTGAAAACCAAAGAACAGGTTCTCCACGGAAGATTTCTTCAAGATCTTCATGGAAACTAATGAGTCAAAATAAACAAAATCCAATGGTTACTCGTCAAGAGTTGCAGGATGATTTGTTTTCATCAGGAGTCTGTGTGACTAAACCAACAATAAGTAATGAAATTCATAGGAACAATCTAAAAACTCCACTGATATTGAAAAGACACAAGGATGCCAGGTTGAAATTCGTTAGTGAAAATAAGGATAAGAAAAAATCATATTAGAAAGAGTACTATGGACAGATGAAAACAAATCTGAGTTGTTTGGATGCAATTCCCATAAATCATGTATGGAGGAAAGATGGCGATGCCTTCAAACAAAGGAAAGCAGTTCCAACAGTGAAATTTGGTGGTGGCAGCATCATGGTTTGAGGATGTTTTTCTGCAAAAGGTACTGGCAACATATCAGTAAAAGATGGGAGAATGAATGCTGCAGCATATCAAAATATTTTGGAAGCAAATTTAATGATTTCGGATGAAAATCTTGAACTTCCTCCTGATTGGATCTTCCAACAAGATAATGATCCTAAGCAAAATCTACGGAGAAATGGCTTGCTGAAAATAATGCAAATATCCTGAAATGTACAAATCTGTCCACAGATTTAAACCCAATCGAGAATCTGTGGCGTTATAAGAAAATTCAAATCCAACCGAGAGCTCCAACAAACATCCCAGATTTGAAGACCATATATGAAGAAGAATGGAATAAAATACCAACTAAAATTTGCAAATCATTAGTTGAGGACTACAAGAAGAGGTTGGTTACTGTAGATGTGAATAATGGCTATTCTACAAAGTATTAAATGAAGATAATGTATTCTTTTTTGTATTGTACAAATACTCTTCCACTCATTAAAATGGATAAATGGGATTTATTTCTATTAAATCAAAGTTCTTTCTGTTTCCTATGCATATTAATTATGCATCTGTGCACAGTTAATTATATGAAAAGTTTGTTTATTCATTAGTTGGAAATACAATAAATTAAACATTTAATGTGTATGAATATTTGTTTCCCCCCACTGTGTATACACACACACACTCTCTCTCTCTCTCTCTCTCTCTCTCTCATATATATATTATTTAAATGTCAATCGTATCTACTAATAAATACGGTATATATTTTGGAAGACACTATGCAGATCAATATCATATATCGATGTAGACAATAATTTTTCAATTTTAGTTCGTTCCTGTATCTAATGTCAAAAGATGAAGAATCAGATAGAATCCTAATGCTAGAGACTCTATTCTCGTCGTGGTCTCTGATCAGTTGGAGGTTAAAACTGGCAGGAGAAAGATAAGGGAATTTGGGAGACGACAGAGAGAACGAAAGAGCGAAAGAGAGAGCATCATAGTACTACAATCACACTTCCTTTATTCAACGTATTTACGAGTGAGTTCGATCCTCACTAGGTATCCCTTACGTTTTGCTTTGTGCCAATCTAATTTGATAAGTATGATCTCGTCTGATCACGAAAGGTAAACAAAGCTGAACTGCTTAAATAAAGTGGTTGTTTGCCAGGGAATGCACCTGACTGCAAAGCTCATATTGCAGTTTCAGGACATGAAAATGTATACGTAAAAATACATATATTAGACTACTTTTTATTAAAAAAGAAATCACTGGACTGAAAAGAGCCCTCAGAAAAAATGAATTGAACATTCGTTTAAAAAAAAACTCTGAGAATCTTTACTTAAATTCAGCTCTTTCATAAAAAAACAAAATACAAAAGGAATTTATTAAAAGAAAAAAAAAAAAGAACTTTACAGTGACGAAGTCAATTTAGAAACTACTAGTTTTTATCATAACAGCTCAATAGGTTTTAATATTAAATCTGGAACAAGTGTATATGTGTTTAATAAAAATGAAAGCTGGAATGGAAGATATCCTAAGAGAGACGAATCTGATTTAGCCGTTAAAAAGATTACGGTTAAAAAAATAAAAGAGAATCGGTTTAAAATTTAACTTTAGGAAATAAAAATTAACTCAAACTGTCATCTTAATCATTATCGACAACGAGTTATAATAAATGTTAGCAGAAAGTTACTTTTCTGACATTGTCATATTGTGGTTGGCGCATTGTAGTCGTTACAGCAGTTGCATCAAAACCGCTACAATACAAAGGTGCTGATATCAGCTCTAATAACACGACTAGACGCAAGCAGGTGATTATTGGTTAGCGAGTGTCGTCTCTACCCTGAAAAATTAAGTCAACAGAAATGGGGTATCACGAAAGAAAGAAAGAAAGAAAGAAAGAAAGAAAGAAAGAAAGAAAGAAAAAAAGAAAGAAAGAAAGAAAGAAAGAAAGAAAGAGGAAAAACTGTCATGTTTTGAGGAAAAGAATCAGCAGTGTCGGTTTGGAAGGAAACGAAAAAAAAAAAGAGACGGCAAATAAAGAAAGAAATAATTGAAGGGAGTGAAAGAAAAAAAGAATAGTGGAGAGGTGAATAGCATAGAAGAAATAATATAGCGGTGGTAAAAGGAAAAGTAGAAATGATGGAGGGGAGATAAAAGGAAAATTTGAAATAATAGAAGCATGGTAAAAAGAAAAGGTAAAAACATCGGAGGGGAGATAAAAGGAAAAGTTGAAATAATAGAGGAATGGTAAAAGGAAAGGTAAAAATATAGGAGGAGATATTTAAGGAAAAGTTGAAATAATAGAGGCATGGTAAAAAGAAAAGGTAAAAACATCGGAGGGGAGATGAAAGGGAAAGTTGAAATAATAGAGGAATGGTAAAAGAAAATGTAGAAATAATGGAGGGGTGGTGAAAGGAAAACTTGAAATAATAGAGGCATGGTAAAAGGAAAGGTAAAAACATCGGAGGGGAGATGAAAGGAAAAGTTGAAATAATAGAGGAATGGTAAAAAGAAAAGGTAAAAACATCGGAGGAGATATTTAAGGAAAAGTTGAAACAATAGAGGCATGGTAAAAGAAAAAGTAGAAATAATGGAGGGGTGGTGAAAGGAAAACTTGAAATAATAGAGGCATGGTAAAAGGAAAGGTAAAATCATCGGAGGGGAGATAAAAGGAAAAGTTGAAATAATAGAGGAATGGTAAAAGGAAAGGTAAAAATATCGGAGGAGATATTTAAGGAAAAGTTGAAATAATAGAGGCATGGTAAAAGAAAAAGTAGAAATAATGGAGGGGTGATGAAATGAAAACTTGAAATAATAGAGGCATGGTAAAAGGAAAGGTAAAAACATCGGAGGGGAGATGAAAGGAAAAGTTGAAATAATAGAGACATGGTAAAAGGAAAGGTAGAAACAACGCACGATAGGGGAAATGTATATAAACAGTATGTAAAAGGAAAGATAGAAATGGTGAGGATCCGAAGGAAAGAAATTAAAAAAGGAGTTGCAATGAAAGGAAATTTTAGAAACGGAGGTGAAAGGAAATAAGAAAGAATTAGTGGGTAGCTGTAAAGAAAGTAAGAAAGAATAGATATTTTAAGTGTCTGGAGAAGGATGAACAGACCGGTTAGGAAGGGAAAAGAAACTCATTTTGGAAGAAAGGGAACAATTGAGAAGGGATGAGATTAATTGAAGGAAGAATAAATGGGACGTGTAAAGAAAAAAAAGGAACTAACAGAGGATGTTGTATAGGAAAGAACGCTAAAGATTCCTTCCATATTGATATTTACAACAAAGTCACGTGCCGTTAGCAATTTATCAAAATAGATAGTGTCTAACCTTTATAAAGTAAACTGTGGACAAAAGCCTTATCACTCTATTATTTTAAAGATTCGTGAAAAAAATTTTAGGTAATAGTCTACTCTTTTCGGGAAGAAGAACATTTTTACTAAATGTGGTTCTACAGAAGGATGCTGATAATGCCAGAGACAGGGCATGTGAGCAACACATAAGTTATAAGAAAAATGGAAAGAGAAAGAAAACTTATACTTAGAATCAGAAAGACATGGTAGAAAAATTTCTTGGACGCGTAATGAGGAAAGAGGGCTTGGAAAATTTGACACTCAGAGATGCCGAAAGCAAGAGTTCCAGAAGGCAACAGGAAATTATCTACCTAACAAGCTTGTGTAAGTCGAAGGCAGAAATGGGTTCAGGAGGGTTAGTAAAATAGAAACATTTAGGAAGTATAGGAAGCTGCGTAGGTCAATGATTGTCCATATCCTGACGAAACACGGCACATAAAAGAAAAAAGTTTTCATATTTAAGATGTCCACCCGCCCCTCTCTTTAGTGAAGTTAGTCTTACAGCTGCCTTTATTATCCGGCATCAAGTGCGGCTTGTAGCTGCTGTCCACAGCACGTGGAACAGACATAGTTATGCATATGCATTGGAGAATTATGTCTTTTTAAATTTAAATTAATGACCGTTCATTGAATTGTACATTGTATTTAGTGCGACAAGTTAAAAATATACAATTAATAATAGTAAAAAATCAATTAATAATTGTCAGTGATTCATTTAGGAGATCGAAACACTCTCTTGATATTGGCTTGAATAAAGTCTAACGTTTTCAATGTTACTTTTTTTAAAATCATTCCACCCCAAGCAAGGCGATAATGCCACTAAGATGTAAGGGGTATCGGAAGTGAGAAAAAAAGAATGAGTAAACTTTAGAAGGAACTGGAGATCCAATCCTCTAAGAGTAAACAAGGGATAACCTCTACTCCTGTTCAAAAGATCGGGGAGAAGTGTGAACAGGACGATAGGCCAATATATATCTACTCCTTTGGCTGGAACTTGTTCTTTGTAGCACAATTTTAAATCAGAGATTTTGGCGCTTCAGTAACAAAATTTTTCCTTTTTTATTGTAGTTTTTTTTTCTTGCTGAATATGTTGCAAAGTCTCTTCTTCAGTTCTCGAATCTCACAAATATGGCGAATTAAAGATATACATCCAATCATTATAAAACCCGTTTCCAAACATAAACAATAATGAACTTACTGTTAAGGAAATTAAGAAAGTTATTAAAAAAAATATATGGAATAATAAAGGATCACTCGATACTGAGTCTGAATTTTGAAAATAGTTGGCTTTCTCCCCGAATTCAATTCAGTTTCTCAATTTTATGAATGGATTTTGAAACCAGAAACCTATCTCGAAAAAGTAGGGATTATTGCGCATTAATTCACTCTGGGAACAAAAAGTAGCTTCCAAGACCCACACACATAGAGAGGTATCTCTATTGGAGCCATTATTGTGAAGATATTAATCATGTTGATCTTAATGAATTGTTATTTGATATAGGATATAAATGACTAGCTGTTAATACCATAACCAGAGCAAAGTTGTCTTCGCAACATTGGTAATGACCAAAAGGCATACGGGAAGGCATTTTACAGTGATCATGAAAATAACCAGTTTTTACCCTGAAAATGTACAATTCATTTGCCATGGAAGGGAGTTGCCGCCTCCTCACTAGAACACCCGACTCGTACACCTTTTGTAATGAACGTCAAGTTTTGAAATGGAGCATGCTTACAAACATATCACGTTGAAACACCGATTCTCGTACAATCAAGTAACGTAGAGCTTGGTCAGTACCTAAATGGGTGACCACTTGAGAATACTTGCTGTAAGGTTGAATGTGCACCTCCAAAAAATAGGGATTATTGCGCATTAATTCACCCTGGGAACAAAAAGGTAGCCCTCAAGACCCACACACATAGAGAGGTATCTCTATTGGAGCCATTTTTGTGAAAATATTAATCAACATTATATTAGGCTCTCGTCGTTTTATAAAAGTCAACTCCATAACTCATCTGGTTTTCATTCTGGTAACATATGTAATGATGGCATATATGTCATCAAACATCTCCAGGATATTGCATATATCTCTAATTGGAAATTTTATATCTGCTATGTTGATCGTATGACCACATGAATAGAGGCTTTCTCTTCTCATCCATTAGAAACAGTCTTCCAAGTTCCAAATCAGCTGAATCCATTGATCTAATAGAGGAACTTTATCGGTCTACAAAATCTTATATGTCTAGCAAGGACCCTAATACGGAAACATTTCAAACCCCATCAGTAATACGAAAAAGAGGAAAGGAGAGATCCATTCTATTTAATCTTTTCTTGGACTATGCCCTGCGCATTCAAAATCACAGATATGCAGAAATACCATTATTAATATAGAAGACAAAAAATCTGGAATGCTGTACAAACGTATGAAGACATCTATGAAATACATGAAGACATCTCCAACATATGACGCCCATCAGTTGATTCACAATAATTATAGTTAGCATATCATTTTGGTGTCAATGAAGAAATCCTAAAAGATTATTGTCACAGCTTCAAAAAAGACCTTAACATTTACTCAATTAGGCAACATCGCAGAGGAACTAATGCAGTTATTGAATAGAAATTCCATAGCTTTCGTTGTTCTTGTAGAAAGCCCGTCAAAATCCCGAGTTATAATAAAAGTACACAGCACCTTTGGAAGAAAGTTGGTTGGTTGATTTTGTTTAGCGGCATATCAACATCTCTATGGGTTATTTAATGCCGAAATCTAAATATTTTAAACACAATTTTATGGCTTCAACTACAGATAAAATGTATTGTTGGTCATTTTGCTATAAAATGTATTGTTGGTCATTTTGGTATAAAATGTATTGTTGACAATTCTATTATAAAATGTATTGTTGGTCATTTTGCTATAAAAGTTTTTATTGGTCATTTTCCTATAAATGTATTGTTGGTCATTTTGCTATAAAATGTATTGTTGGTAAGTATACTATGAAATGTATTGCTGTTAATTTTACTATATATATATATATATATATATATATATATATATATATGTACTGTTGGTCATTTTATTATACAGTGGGGGAAACAAATATTCGTACACATACAAATTTTTAATTTATTGTATTTCCAACTAATGAATAAACAAATTTTTCATATAATGAACTGTACACAGATGAACTAAATATGCATAGAAAACCTCACAAAAAATTGCTTTAATAGAAATAAATCCCATTTATCCATTTTAATGCGTGAAAAAGTATTCGGACAGCTTCTTAGGAACAACTGCTTTATGGATCATACTCTCGGTAGAGTATTTTCCCAATTACTATCGTCCTAGGCATGACGATAAACTAAATCCGGCACCAAGGTCCCAGTTATGGGGGTAAATAGTGGACCTCCAAGCAAAAATCAACAATACTTTTTTTTATGATAAAATGGCCAACAATACATTTTTATGGCAAAATGACAATCAATGCAACACTAAAAATTATATATAAATACATTTTTATAGTAAAATTACCAAATTTTATAATCTTCAGAATATATATCTAAAAAACAAAAAAAAAGTATAAAATTATGTACAAAATATCTGTAGTTGAAAGTTACGTATAAAATATTTAGAATATTTCAATAACCCATAGAAGTTGATATATCGCTCAACAAAATTAACCAACCCAATCATTACAGTCCTGACCTCTTTAAGTCTAGGGTTTATGGTTAGCTATCCTGCATAACCCATGAGCTTCACCTCGCCTTTTCTTAAACTCATACAACATCACACAGAATCCCTTTAATTTGAGTGACTCTCGCGCCTTGGATTACGTGAACATCTGGAAAAAAATTTCATGACAACGGATCTCTGTTCCCATTGACACGAAAACTAAATGGATGAACTGCATTAGGCTCTCGTCGTTTTATAAAAGTCAACTCCACAACTCATACCCGCCACTTCAGGAAGTCGTTGCGCTTTTCTAACAAACAAAATCATAATTCTTTTTATTGATACTGGTGTTATTATTGGTATATTACCAATTTCCTTAGTGAATTGAATTGTTTGTAATCGAATTCCTATACTCCACTCATATGCTAGAGGCGGGAAAAGGTCATGGAAAAGCGAATCTGGAGATTGAAATCCTTTGTTTAAAATCATCTTTCCAATGCATTTTTTTATCGCCCCATCCTCTTATATGACAGTGAATGGTGGAAAATCTCGCTATTGATGAGGAGAACGTCGGAGGCATCAGAAATGTTGCTCTACAGAAGGATACCGAGAATTGTATAGACGGAGTGTGTAAGCAACGTGGACGTCTTCAGATGGCAACAAAAAGAACACATGAAAGAAACAGAAAGAGACAATTGAAATTCCTTAAACACGTAATGAGGAAGGTGGATATAGAAAACTTAACACTCACGGGGCATATTGAGAGAAAGGGGAAAGGAGCGACCACTTATCTGGCGAGCTTGTGTCAATGAACGGCGGAACGGGTGGCGGGAGCCTTAAAAAATATCTAAATCAGGATCCTTGAGTGATGTCTACATCTAAAGGTGTACGGACAAGATCGCTCCATTCCAATAGATTGATTGACTAATTTGTTTGTTTTTTTTACTGCTTATCAACCTTTAACGGGTTATTTAAAGCCAGAATATAATTTTATATCGTAAAAGCTTTTGGCCAATAACAATGGTTTAATGATATAAGTTCGACTAATTAACCCATAGCTGGGGGGAACGGACGTAGTCATACATTAAGCAAAGGTATTTGCGCGTAAGAGAATATAATGAACCCGATTGGAATTGAAACTCGGCGCTCCGATTTCCAATTCCATAAAGTTATTCATTACACCAGCTGCACATTCAACCTTACAGCAAGTATTCTCAAGTGGTCACCCATCTAGGTACTGGCCAAGCTCTATGTTACTTGATCGTACGAGAATCGGTGTTTCAACGTGATATGTTTGTAAGCATGCTCCATTTCAAAACTTGACGTTCATTACAAAAGGTGTACGAGTCGGATGTTCTAGTGAGAAGGCGGCAACTCCCTTCCATGGCAAATGAATTGTACATTTTCAGGGTAAAAACTGGTTATTTTCATGATCACTGTAAAATGCCTTCCCGTATGCCTTTTGGTCATTACCAATGTTGCGGAGAAAACTTTGCTCCGGTTATGGTATTAACAGCTAGTCATTTATATCCTATATCAAATAATTCATTAAGATCAACATGATTAATATCTTCACAATAATGGCTCCAATAGAGATACCTCTCTATGTGTGTGGGTCTTGGAAGCTACTTTTTGTTCCCAGGGTGAATTAATGCGCAATAATCCCTACTTTTTGGAGATAGGTTTCTAGTTTCAAAATCCATTCATAAAATTGAGAAACTGAATTGAATTCGGGGAGAAAGCCAACTATTTTCAAAATTCAGACTCAGTATCGAGTGATCCTTTATTATTCCATATATTTTTTTTAATAACTTTCTTAATTTCCTTAACAGTAAGTTCATTATTGTTTATGTTTGGAAACGGGTTTTATAATGATTGGATGTATATCTTTAATT